CAAAAGAATCGTTTAGCCAAAGGAAAAACCTTCAAGAAAATGTCAAATTTTCAATCTCGCAAAAGGAATAGGAAGTAAAGAGTTGAAAAACATGCAGAAAACTCCCACGAGCTTGTAGGTTAAGGCCATAAATTTAGTCACGAGATAAACATACACGTACTTGTAAACCTGATATAAAGAAAGCAGTTATGAAAATATTATAACATAAATATTTGTTTGAAAGTTCAAATAAAACTTCTTCAAATTATTTCATATTTCATATCTTTGCACCAATACGAAGATAGGACGTCATCTTCATTAGTGTTGTTAATATAAAAGGGCCCTCTTTTATAAGAAAGCCTGTGCATATTAAGACGTGGCATATTAAAGCATTTCAAATGCATGTAAAGGCTCTAAACTTAAGATCATAAAGCATAATGCAAGATATGAAACAAAATGATATTAGCATTAATATCAAAAACAGTGAAGGAAAAGTTTTCCAAAATCAACTTCAAGAAAAAAAATAAAAACAAAATGTTTCATAAGCACCAATAAAAGAAAATTCTAAAGTAAAGGGTGAAAAACTAGGTAGCATCATCAGCAGGGGTGGAAGGATCAACTTGAGAAGACGAAGGCTGGGCATTAGCTTGGTCAGCTACGGGACCATTTTTATCACCTTTGGAACTTTAATTCTCGGGTGTAGAAAAATATTGACGTTGCTGAGTATCTTCAATTGCCTCTTTAGCTTTGGTAATCTCAGCCTCGAGGTCAAAACCCTTCTGGTTAGCCTCGATCAAAGTTTCTAGACGAGTGTTTAAAAAAGGCCAACTAACATCAACTGTTAGTTTGTCTTCAAGAGCTTCATAATCTTTCTCCAGTTGCTTTATCCTTGCCCTCATGTCTTCTTTTTTAGCTTCTGAATTAGGATGCCTTCAAAGGTTCAAGATTATCCTCAAGGAACTTGACTTTATCAGAAGAGGCACGGAGAACCTCTTAAGCTTGAGTGAGCATCTGAACTAGATCGCCAACGTACACCTCCTTCTGATTTAGAAATTCTTTTAAGATCATAATCTTCTCAATGACCTAGGAGTGCTGCTCAGCAAAGAAGGATCCTAGTCTATCTTTATCTTTTTCAACTTAATTGGAAGAAGCCTTCGAAACTACCAATTCGGCAGTTGCAATCTTGAGCTGCTGCTCCAAAGCCCCATTTTCTTTAGCAAGGGCATATTTTTCAAGTTGAAGGCTTTCAAATTGCTCCTTTCAATTGTCAGCCTCTGTACGCAACTTTTTCATTTGCTGCTCAATCCAAGATATTCTTCTCTTCAACTTCGTGCCTGTTAAATTGATCTGCAAAAATGCAAGGTAGAAAGGTTATTAACTTAGAAGTAAAGGAGGAAACATAAGAGGAGAAGAATATACCTTAAGAGCAGAATGAATAACATCATTCATTAAGGTTATAGAGCCGTGAGACTCAAGCTTTTCCCTCTCCACGGGGCCGTTCAACAGTTTCAAACACACCACAACTTGGTTAGATTTCTTTAACAAATTCCCACTATTGGGGACTTCAATCAACAATTTCTTGATGCCTTTACTCCCGCTAGAAGGGCTAGCCTCTTCACGTGGAATAGTAGCAGGTGCGGTGACAGAAACAATTACGGGTGTGGTAGCAGAAAATATGAAAGGATTAACGGCAGGAATGACATGGGTCATTGGAAGAGTAGCAAGGGATAGCTCTTCAAAACAGGGCCAAAATCTTCTTCACCCTCAAATCCTTGAGTGAAGAGTCTATCAATAGAACTTTGGGGGAGGGGAGGGTTACCAGAATGGTCAATATCTTCATCTTCTGAGATATCGAAAGGGACACTCTAAGGTTCATCAACAAGTTTGAAAGGCACGGGGCCTGAAGGTAGATCTTAAGGAACGATGGCTTAATCATCTAAAACCATATGCCTCCTAACTCGTGGCTTCTTCACTAGAGAGCCATCTTCATCGTCATCTTCTTCTTCTTCTTAATCGGAGGCATTGGTTTCACTCTTCTTCCTTTTTGAATAAGACACACTTAAAATCTATTCCTTGGTTGTGCTAACAGAAAGCCTAGCAGCGGGAATAGAGGCAGGACGAATGCCACAAACAATAAAACTTGAGAATAATGAGAACGAGTTAGAATAAGAAAAGTTATATAAAAAAGGAAAGGGCACGGTAAGGTAAAATACCATAGGTTTTTACTTTCCATCCAAACTTTTGGGAAAAGAATTTCCACGATCTTTGTTCCAAACTTTTCTACCCAATTACGAAGGTCGGGAAGTTCACCAAAAAATTCCATAACTGTTGAGAGGTACGGAAAAAACGAATGAGGAAATCAAAATTATAAGAGAAGAGAAAAGAAAGTGATATAAATAAATACTCACGTGCAATGTTCCACTTCTCAGGGAAAGGCATGTTTTCATCACCCATCAAATCACGAGTAGGAACAGCCACGAACCGGGCATACTGACCACTAACACAATAATCTTCATGGTTGACTAAAACTCTCTTGCATCTCGCCACTAGAAAAAAGACACCTTCGCGAAAGAGCTTTAGGGAATACAGATGAAGTAAGTGTTGAAAGGTAAAAGGGGCTGAAACCAAGTTTGATAAATAATGAAGGAGAGCTACTACCCTCCACACTATCGGGCCTATCTGACCGAGACATACATTGAAGTAACGATAAAACAAAAAGATCAATGGGTCAAAAGGTGGGTTGAATCCTAGGGTGAAAGAATAAGTGTAAACAAACGAATAACCTTTACGATAAGAGATTATTGTTACTTTGTGCCCATATGGATTACTAAAGAGCTTGGTTCTTTACTGTGTTCCCTAACCATAAAGTAAATAAGCAATAAAATGAACGTAATGATTTTTACGTGAAAAATCACCCGTATCAAAAGGTGCAAAAATCACGACCTACCACATAGGATTTTCAACTCTAACTCCACTAGAACAATGAGACAAAATGTATCAATTACAAGGTTGTAATTCAATACTCTCCAGTACTCCTATTTGATTCACAAGTTACTCTAACTTGTAAAGCAAACACTCACTCCAACTCATTAATTGTAAGTGACACTTGATCACAACTCAATTTCCTAAAACACATTCATTAGACTGACTCAAGAAGAATACAATACAAGTACTCGACTAGGGTAAATAACTTATGACTCTTCAGTTAATGTGTAAAAGGATAGTTTCAGAAGTCCAAAGTCAATCGTCTTTAAACGCTCCAACTTGAGATCTTCTAGGAGTCCTATTAATAGTTAGCTTCCTCTTTTATTGGACTCCTACTGTTCCAAGGATTCCACTAGCTTTGGGACTTTGTCTCTGACTGAATTGTTCATATCTTCTTGAGCAATAACCCTTATCACATATAGCATCCTTCTTCCACCTAACTCAGACCTGGGTAACTTTTAAAGTTACTGTCTTGTACAGACGTACAAGTATCAATATGAGAAGCGGGTCCTTAATCTCAAGGAGCTGTTTCTTCAGAACAATTAAGTAGCTACGTTGAGGACCTGGTTCTTTGAGCATTTAGTCATACTTTGTTAATCATCAAAACTTCAATACGCAACAAATTCCCCATTTTGATGATGACAAACTTTATGCACGGCAGAACCAGGTAATCACATCAAAGAACAAGATAATCACAATAAGTGACAAGTACTATTGACAGACATATATGTTCACAACCTCACAACCTTCCAACCTTATCTTCCCTATTTTGGAATCATTGAAAACACACAAAAAAATGTTAGACAATAAGCACATATAATGTAAGATTCAAGGCTAAACAGGCTACGACACAAGCTTAAGAAATATCAAGGCAAACAGACTAGGTTGAAGATCCAATATTGTATAAAGGAGTAAAGCATAACAAGAAGAGACATTAACTAATTCCAAAAGAAGCTCAGGGCCTTGTCTTAACCATTAGAATAAAATAAACTAAGCATACTGCAAACTACTCAGACTAAGACAAAAAAAAGGCATCATTGGAATAGCAAAAGAAACTAAGGACACTGGGAAGGAACATGTTCATGGGTGAGAAGTAGAGGGGGTCAAAGTTTTCATAAGGGTGGCAATCTGTTAAGCATGAGCCTCTCTATCTTTTTTGAGCTCTTCCCTAAGTTGACTTGTTTCCTTTCTTAGCTCATCATTGTCTTCACGAAGCTTGTCATTCTCTTCAACAACTAACTCCAACCTCTTACTGAGCTCCGCAGCCCTACAACTCCGAGGTTGAATAGCAGATCTTGTGGGTCCTCTAGACTTGATATCCTCATACCCACACTGCTTGAGGGTAACAACATCCAAAATGTCATTGTGGTTTCCAAACTTAAGTTCAGGTAAGGCAATGTTGAGCTTGTCAAACAACTCAGTTAATATGAAACCATAAGGCATAGCATGCTTGGGTTTGGAGGTGTCAGCAGCTCTTGCCATATGCTGAATCATCATGCTAGAAAGATTGCTAGGTCTACCAGTGTCTAGTAGTTCCATCACAACCATGTCCAGCAGAGTAGCTTTATGCCTTCTCTCAGACCTCTGAAGAATGCAGGAGTTTACAAAATGAAACAACAACTTGTGGAAGGGAGACATATCAGTCTTGTACACCTTCTGGGGAGCATCTAGTTAAAACTTTTGAGAGAACTTCCTTGTGACCACAATACCAGTGTCAATATCATTGTCTATGGCTGGCCACTCTTTCTTCAAATAATTGTCAAATCCCAAAGAAGAGATATTCAGAAGCATCGCCAGCTCCTCAGCATCAAACTTCATTTAAAATCCCCCTACATTACTCTTGAGTACCTTTCCATCAAAGTTGAAATTTGCATAGAACTCCACCACAATAGGAACACATACTAGGGGGAAGGCTTTGACAAACATGTGCTTCCACCCCTATAGCTCAAGTTTTTCAACTAGTTGATCCATCCCCTTGTCATCGGTGTTCGCAAGAATCTTCCCATTTAGCACTTTCTGTTCTTGAACTCTGTGATTCAATCAACTGCAGTTGGCACATTCTTTCTTGTTTTATCCTTACTGGCCCTTGTAGAAGGGGTAGTAGTTTTTGGAACTTTGGGAACCTTTCTCTTTGGTGAAGAGGACTTAGCTGGCAAGGCAGAGTAAGACTCATCTTCTCCATCCAGCTCAACAACAGGTTTCAAAATTGAAACTTTCTTCCTTGGCTTCTTTGCACTTCTAGACTCCTTAATGGCCTGTGCATCAACATCCTTTCTTTTACTCCTTTTAAGAGGAGTCCTGGAAGGAGGAGCCACTCATTTCCTTGTTGGGACTGGTGACTTCATAGCTTTCACAAGAGTCTTCATGGGTTTCTTCCCTACCTCAGATAGTGGCACATCATCTTCATCACTGCTAACTTCTTTATCTCCAGTGAAAGGAGTTAATAGAGACCCAGTTTCTTGAGCCCTTGTCTCTCCACCAGTTTTTTCTGAAGGGGCTATAACAATGTTCCCAATGGTTATAGAGCCTTTAGATTCCTCACTCACATTCTCATCTTCTTCCTCACTCTCTTCATCACCTCCTTCACTCTCACTTACCTTTTCTTTATCCTCACCCTTACTTTTAGAGTCGTCCTCTTCTTCACTATGATTTTTTTCTTCTGCAGAATCATTAACCTGTTCAACTGTCTTATCATCTGTATCACTCTCCTTCTCATCTCCATATGCTCCCTCATTCTCACTCTTTTCTTATTCATTGGCTATGTTTTGAGCATCATGCTCCTCATGACTATTCATAGCTTCTTCTTCTTTTTCAACCCCATCATCATCCTCAGTCCAATTAAATAAAAGGCCATCAGAAGCCTCATTTTGCACAGGTTCTTTACTTCTTTCCCCCTCAACCACAGGCTCCACAATAATAGTATCTACATCTTTCCCTTAACCACAGGCTCCATAGCAGTAGTATCTATCTCCTTCCTTAGATCACCTACACCCTTTTCTATAGTGAATTTCTCCTCTTGTGGCTTCTCACTCGTGGGTGGGAGAGTATCTAGGGGTGCAACATCTATAGCAGACATCAAAACATCTAATTTCAAAGGAGGATGTTGTACCTAATCAGTAATGACTGGCACTGATTCCCCCTAAACCACAGATATTTTGGCTACTGTGTCTACCTGCATAGCACAATTAGACTTACACAATTAGAATATTCTTCCCTCTGCTCCTTAGAAATAGAGTGTTGTCCACCTTTCCTCTTACAAAGTTGTTGGCTAAGAGGAACTTTGAGAGTCTTTCATACCAAACTCTTGGAGTCTATTCCAGTCCATAAAGAGCTTTATCCAATCTGAACACATAGTTAGGAAATTCTTCACTTTCAAATCCAGGAGGTTGTTTGACAAACGCTTCCTCCTTCAGATAACCATTCAAAAAGGCACTCTTTACATCCATCTGATATAAGGTGAATTCCATATGGGCAGCAAAGGCTATCAGCATTCTTATAGCCTCCATTCTAGCTACAGGTGCAAACGTCTCATCATAGTCAATGCCCCCCTCTTGATTATATCCCTAAACCACCAGTCTGGCCTTGTTCCTTGTGATATTTTCTTGTTCATCCAGCTTGTTTCTGAACACCCATCTAGTACCTATGACATTTCTGTTCTTAGGTTTCTGTGCCAAGTGCTAGACCTTGCTTCTCTCAAACTGATTTAGCTCATCTTGCATGGCTATGATCCAGTATGGATCCTTTAGAGCTTCTTTGATGGTCTTAGGTTCAATATGTGAGAGAAATATTGTGAGTGCACATAGATTTATTAGAGAAGACCTGGTTTGCACCCCTGCATTTGAATAAGAGATGATATTCTCAAGAGGATATGAACTTTGATGCTTCCATGGTCTAATCTGTATACCCAGAGAAGATTCACCCGAGGAGTGACCCAAAGGAACATGTTCAGTGGGTGTGGCTTCATTAGTCTGGTCAGTATTTATAGTAGTTCTTTCTTCTTCTTGTTCCTCATGATCACTGTCATTTTCCTTATGGTCTTCGGGTCCATCTTCAACTGAGGTTCAGATTCCTTTGTAACTCCATCACCAGTGAATCCTATGTCATAATCTTCATCATGCAGACCTTCCTCAGCCAAATCGTTAGATTCATCAAAGATAACATGAATAGTTTCTTCTACACACATAGTTCTTTTATTAAAAACTTTATAGGCCTTACTATGTGGAGAATAACCCAAAAAAATTCCCTCATTGCGTCTGTCATCAAACTTACCTAGAGCTTCTTTCCCATTATTATGCACAAAATATTTGCACCCAAAGTCTTTCAGGTGAGTGATGTTGGGTTTTCTTCGTCGAAGTAACTCATAGGGAGTTTTCTCAAGAATGGGTCTGACCATGCATCTACTTAGCAGGTAGCAAGCAGTACTGAGTCAGCCTAAAAACTCTTAGGCAGTCCACTAGCAATAAACATGGTCCTCCCCATGTCTTCTAAGGATCCATTCTTTCTTTCTACAACCCCATTTTCTTGTGGAGTTCTAGGTGCATAGAAATTATGGTCAATACCATGTGAGCCACAGAACACAAGGAATTTTGAATTTTTAAATGCAGTTCCATAGTCAGTTCTTATACTTAATACATTGCACCCTAGTTTTTGTTGAATCATTCTAACAAATACACAGAAAACATCAAAGGTTTCATTTTTGGATCCCAGAAATAAAGTTCAGGTATACTTGGAGAAGTCATCAACAATCACATATACATACCTCTTACCTCTTCTGCTCCTTATTCTCATTGGTCCATGTGAAGGAGTTCCAGAGGTTTAGAACTACTAACAACCTTTTTAGATTTAAAGGATGACCTTACATGTTTCCCTCTAACTCTTGCATCACATACCTTGTCAGAGGTGAACTCAACTACAGGTAGCCCAAGGACTAAGTCATTTGCTGCCAACCCGTTGAGTTGAGAGAGACTGGCATGTCCCAGTCTTCTATGCCATAGCATTGGATCATCTTCCACTATACTAAAGCATGTGTGCTCACTCTGGGGAAGTGACATAATCAATATCTTGTAGACATTGTTATGTCTCTTACCCTTTAACACAATTTCATCAGTATCAAACTTAGTGACAATGTAAATTTTGGAATTGAATTTTACCTGATTTCCTTTGTAGCACATTTGAGAGATGCTAAGAAGATTGTATTTAAGACCTACCACATAATACACATCTTCTATAGCATGAGAGAGTGACTTGCCAACCATGCCAACATTTGTTATCTGGCCCTTTTCCCATTTTCATATGACACACTCCCTCCTTGGAAGGTTGTCAGTGAGAGGAAGTTTTTCTTTTCTCCAGTCATATGTCTTGAGCATCCACTGTCTAGATATCAGTCCATAATGTTTCCTCTCACCTAAGCCTGCACCAAAATTCACAAGTAAGTTTTGGGAACCCAGACAAGCTTGGGTCCTTTTTTGTTGGAAAAATGATGAATCAGATCCCTTCTTGCCCAGAAGGGGGAAGGATTAGAAGCTATTTTCTTATTAACCATAATCCACTTAATATGGACATGAGGATTGACCTTTAGATACTCTTCCTTCTTTACATTTTTAGTAATATCAAAGGTGCTTCTAAACTGAGCATGAATTAAGACAGGACAAGTTTCTCTAAAGTGTCCTACTTTTCCATAATAATGAGTGCACATATTATTATCATAAATTCCTATATACTTTGAGTCAAACTTAGGGACAGGTTTTCTGTAGCCAATTCCAAATTTGTTAGAGCTACAATTTTCATTCAGCCAATTCAAGGCATCAGAAGATCTATGCCATTTGCTTAGTCTAGAGAGTTCATAATTAGACTTTTCTAGGTTTTCCTCCAGTACTTTGTTTCTACATTCAGCATCACAAAGATTATCTTTAGCATTTTTTGATATCTTTTCAAGCTTATCCTGCATATCACTCATTTTTCCTTTGCCATGTATATTAGGAGACTTCTCATTCTTAGAAGTAAGCTCAAGAACATGGTTCTTAAGGTCCTTGACCTGTTTCTCTAAATTAGCTTTATGAGATTCAATCTCTTTGATATCAAGTTTGACACAAGAAAGGTTGCTTATTAGCCGATCATTTTATCCATTTCATTCATTAAGGTCACAATTATGGTCATCAGTTATTTTTTGGACATAACATGAATGTTCTCTTTCAAGTCAAATATACTTACTTAGTTTGCTTCATCTTCAGTTTCTGAATCACTCATGGCCATCATTCCAATTACTTCTTCCTCTGTTTTGCATTCTTCAATCGCCATCTAGGGCACCTCGGTGTTTTCATTTCCAAAGTCAGTTTCCAATATCCTCCATATATCATGATCAGAGATGCAAGAGGACACTCTGAGGAGAGTGTTTCTAGACAAGCTTTTGTAGAGCAGGTCCCTTGCTTTAGCATTTTCTGAACTAGCTGACGATCTTCCTCATTGTATTCCTCTTCTCTTTTGTTGAACTTGTTACCTTCACTATCCATTTTGGTGGGGAGAATCGGTCCATGACTGACAATTACCCATAGGTCAAAGTCAGTTGCCTGAAGAAATATTTCCATACGCAGCTTCCATTCATCATAGTGGTGTTCATCAAACAAGGGAGGTCTTCCTGTAACGACCCGGCCGGTCATTTTGAGAATTAGAGCCCCGATCCCCTAATAACTATTTTCCCCACGTTTGTTTTCGCTATTGTGACTTGCCGGAGTGATTGATTATGGAATTCAGAGAGTTTTGGGACACTTAGTCCCTAGTTGTGAGTTTAAGCCTTAGAGTTTGGACTGTAGTTGGAACTGTGTGAAGATAGATCCGGAATGGAATTTTGTCAACTCCATTAGCTCCGTTGAGTGATTTTGGGGTTAGGAGCACATACGAAATGTGTTTTGGAGGTCTGTAGTAGATTTAAGCTTGAATTGGCGAAAGTTAGTTTTTCGGCAATTTCGGCCGATAATGAAAATTTTGATATCGAGCTCGGAATGGAATTCCGAAAGTGGTTGTAGGTTCGTAGTATCATTTTTGACCTGTGTGTAAAATTTGAGATCATTCGGACTAGATTTGATGTGGTTCGGCGTCGTTTGTAGAATTTGAAAAATTTTAAATTCTTAGGCTTGAATCCGTGCTTAATTCATGATTTTGGTGTTGTTCGATGTAGTTTGAAGGCTTGACTAAGTTTGTATGGTATTTTAGGATTAGTTGGTATGTTTGATTGAGGTCCCGGGGGCCTCGGGGGTGTTTCAGATACTTAACGGGTGAAAGTTTGGACTTAGATGAATTTTTGAGTTTGCTGGTTCTGGTGTTTTCGCACCTGCGGTGGGGAGTCCGCAGGTGCGGCCCCACAGAAGTAAGGCTGGTATCGCAGGTGCGCTTTTAGGCTGGAGAGTCAGTGGTCGCAGATACGACAAGTGAGCCGCATCAGCGGAAGGGCAGTCGCAGATACGGAGGTGAGAAGGACCCAAGGTTTCGCAGAAGCGGACGATTGAGCGCAGAAGCGCATCCGCAGGTGCGGACTCAAGCGCGTAGGAGCGGACCCAGCTCGGATAAGTGACCTTCGCACCTGCGATGATTTTTTCGCAGGTGCGTGACCGCAGGTGCGGCCCATGAGCGCAGGTGCGGAAATCGCTGGGTTGAAGAGGCAGCTTTGAGGGTTCACTCCTCATTTTTCACCAATTCGATTTAGAGCTCGGTGGGGGACGATTTCTCGAGGGATTTTGAAGAAGAACTCTTGGGTAACTAATTCTAACTCTATTTTGATCATAATACATAAAACTATTATTGTTTTCCTCGTCTAATTAAGGAATTTGAGGGTAGAAATTTGGACATGGGGAAAAAAGTTCCCCAATTGAAAACCTGAGATTTGAATGGGAATTTGATGTCTGATTTAGATGAGTTTTGTTCGAGTGAACTCGTGAGTGAATGGGTATTCAAAATTTATAATTTTACCCCGATTCCGAGACATGGGCCCTGGGAGACGCTTTTTGGGCGTTTTTCCAAATTTTAATCTTTAACTTCGAATTAATTAGCTAAATTAGTTACTTGTAGTTATATTTACATTATGCAATTAAATTGAATAGATTCGGGCCATTTGGAGTCGAATACTCGTGGCAAGAACGTGATATCGAGTTTATTTGAGCGGTTCGAGGTAAGTGGCTTGCCTAATCTTGTGTTGGGGACTTTCCCTTAGGATGTTTGATATTAATTGATGTGTGGGCGCCGTGTACGTGAGGTGACAAGTACGTACACAGGCTATTATTGCAAAAATCCCGTTTTTCCTTTCTAAATCATAAATTGCTTTTCCTTATTAAATTGCACTGATATGTTTAATTGTTAAACTTAGATTAGAGATGCATGCTTACGTGTTTTAACTGCCTAATTTACATTCTGTGCGCCATGCTTAGTTAAGTCCCTATTTTTCCTTATCTGTGTCCAGTATAAACTGTATAACTAGATGTCATACCTGCCATTTCATCTTGCGTTGCATATTTAA